CAGAGCAGCAGCTGCTGCAGCAGCAGCTGCAGCAGCAGCAGCTGCAGCAGCAGCGGTACCCTGGCAGTGGCTTAGCTGCAGTTGAAGGGGAGGAGTACTCTATGCGCAGACAGTCAGAGCACCCAGCAGCAGCAGCAGCAGCAGCAGCAGCAGCAGCAGCAGCAGATGGGGTAGTAGTAAGCAGTTCAGGGAGACCGCAAAAGCAGATGAACGCTCCGGAGTTTGTAGACCCAGCAGCAGCAGCAGCAGCAGCAGCAGCTGCTGCTGCTGCTGCTGCTCCTGCTGCTGCTACAATTGGGAGGAGCGAAACGCGCTTTCCTGCTGCAGTCCCTCAATCAGGACTTCAGCATATATCTGCGTCTCCAGGTGCTGCTGCTGCTGCTCTTGCTGCTGCTGCTCCTGCTGCTGCTGTTCCTGCTGCTGCTGCTGCCCCTAGGGGCAGCAGCAGAGACCCCCTACCATATGAATGGACGGAGAGTATGGAGGGGCTGCAGCAGCAGCAGCTGCACACAAACACACAACTAACAGACAGCATCAGCAGCCTGCAGCTGCAGCAGCACCAGCATCCGCAGCTTCAGCACCAGCAGCAGCAGCAGCAGCAGCAGCAGCAGCAGGGGAATCGGCAGCATCAATGGTTGCCTGCATCTTCAAGCAGCAGTGCAAACAGCCATGGACACAGCAGCAGCATGACAGGCAGCAGCGTCAGCAGCAGCAGCATCAGCGGCAGCGGCAGCAGCAGCAGCAGCATCAGCAGCAGCGGCGGCAGCAGCAGCAGCAGCGGCAGCAACGGCAATGCAGCTCAACTGTCTCGCCGCGAACAGCAGCAGCAGCGGCTGCAGCAGCGGCAGCAGCTGCAGCAGCAATCCAGGCTAGCAGCTGCTCAGGGGGGGCAGCGGCAGCAACGACAGCAGCGGCAGCAGCTGCAGCTGCAGGTGTCGCTGCAGCCGGGGGACTCTCATGGGCGGCTTGGGGCAGCAGCAGCAGCAACTCCAGCAGCAGCAGCAACTCCAGCAGCAGCAGCAGCAACAGAACCAGCAGCAGCTCTGCCGGTCGACAGCGCAGCACATACCCCCACTCTGCAGCTGTCGTTCCCCCCCACACAGCAGCAGCAGCGCCATCAGCAGCAGCAGCAGCAGCAGCATCATCATCATCAGCAGCAACAGCCCCATCAGCAGCAGCAGTATATGCAGCATCAGCAGCATGGTCAGCAGCACCATCAATATCATCAGCAGTATCATCAGCAGCAGCCGCAGCAGCAGCAGCTGCTGCAGCACCATCAGCAGCAGCAGCAGCAGCAGCAGCACCTGTCGTATGCGCAGCACCAGCCCTATATGCCTCCTCCTCATCGTCGCCGTCTCTCACCAGGTGCCCAGCCAGAGGGCTTTGCGCTGCAGCAGCAGCAGCAGCAGCAGCAGCAGAAGAAGCAGCAGCAGAAGCAGCAGCAGCAAGCAGGGAGAGAACAAGACAAACAAGGGCCACCCAACCCAGCCCCCCCACGCAGCAGCATCAACGAACCCCAGCCTACAGGGGCCCCTGTGGGGGCCCCTGTAAAGGCCCCTGTGGGGGCCCCTGTAGAGGCCGCTGTGGGGGGCCCTCTGGGGGCCCCTCTGGGGGCCCCTGTAAAGGCCCCAGTGGGGGCCCCTGTGGGGGCCCCCGTGGGGGCCCCCGTGGGGGCCCCAGTGGGTGGCGGTGGTGGTGTTAAGTTTGGTGGTTTGGGTGGTGGGTGGTTTGGGGTTGGGGTGGAAAATGCAGCGAAGCAAACAAAAATTATTTTGCTGAGAATTTTAACGAGTAATAGAGGGGTATGTTGTATAAAATAATGTTCATGTGT